TACCACCCATGGCTAGGATAGGGTGGTGAGGATACTCTGCTGGATGCCAAGGTTAGTGATAACCCAAGTTATACCTGCTTCCCACTCTTATGAATTTGAATAGTCGTAGTTGGTAGTGGGTGGAAGGCGTGCTCTGGCTCACTCCAGGCTGATGATGTTGCAGGCTCAAACTCGAGTTTGCTTTGCCAAGGTACGTATCTCTACCTGATTCTGTAGAGGGTATGAAGCCTGCTCTTGCAAACTCGGGTCTGGGATATGGGACATGGGCCTGTGTTTTCTGCCTGGTGTTGAGATCATGGGGAACCTGGCACTGAGTTACAAAACAAATTCTGTGTTAGCTTTGCTGACTCACTCTGTCTCACTGAGGAGACAGAGTTCTGCTACTAAATGATTTGATATTTTCAAATGTTTATATTTTTATATTTTAATCTACATACTATCTGTACAGCAAAACTCTGAGTTTTCACAAGTATGTGAGGTCATCTATTTATCACTACAGTTCTACAGAATAGTTTCTTTACCCTAAGAATCCGTATTTCATTTGTCCACTCTCTTTTCTCTTCCTCCCTAGAACCCCTTGCAGCTACCTTTTAAAAAGCATATCTATAATTTTGCTTGTCACCGAATGTCAGGCAAGTTAATTATATAGTATGTAGTCCTTCATGTAGTAATATACTTTTAAATTTCACCCATCCATGTCTGTGTGGCACAGCACCTCAGTATAATAATTGAATATTGACTTCTGGGTCCCATGGCAGACTAGAAACCGTCTCAATATGGCTGGATAAAAGTGAAGAATAAGAAATGAGTCAGAATAAGAAAAAAAAAGATTCATCCAAAGAGATGAAGAAAGATCCTTGAGGATCACAAGTAATGTTGGGATTCTTGAAACTTCCAGAAAAAAAGATGGGTGGGGCAAGGAGAAGAAACCAAACTGACACAGTTCTTCCTTCAGCAGCCTCCTGAAAGGGAATCAAAACCCATAAGCAAGTAGGCATTCTCATTTCTGATAAAGTAGACTTGAACCCCAAGCTACAGAAGATGTGAAGAAGGTAATGTTAATATATTAATAAAGGGAGCTAGCCTTCAAGAAGTAAAGCAATTGTGAAAATGTATGCAAGGAATGTTAAAGTTCTCAATTTCATCAAATACACAAAACAAGCGTGAAGGATCAGGTAGGCTCTGATACAACAATCGTGAGACAATTTAATACCCAATTGTCATTTTTAGGTAAGTCATCCAAACTAAATCTTAGCAAAGACACCTTGGAGTGAAGTTACCCCCTAGATCAGTGGGCTCTACCATTTCTACAGAATATGCCATCCAACAGATAGGGAGTAGAGATTCTTCACAGTTGCACATGGAGCTTTCTCTAAAATTGACCATATTATAGGTCACAAAGCAAGTCTTAAAAAATTTTTTAAAAATTGAAATGAGCCCTTGTTTTTATTATGCCATAGTAGAAAAAAAACTTGAAATCAACAGCAATAGAAACAATGGAACTACAAAAATTGAAAACAAATAGCACACTTTTGAATAAACGGAAGGCCACTGAAGAAATCAAGCAGGAAATTTTAGAATTCCTAGAATCAAATAAAAGCAATATCACCCTATATAAACAAGTACACTTATACATATGCACATGCATATCCAATTTCAATTTTGATTCTGCATCTGAGGGAAAACATGCAATGTTTGGCTTTAAGTCTGACATTTTTTACTTAACATAATGATTTCCAGTTCCATCCATTTTCCCAAACATGTCATTATTTCATTTTTCTTTACAGTCTCAGAAAAAAGATTGGTTTTAGTGTTTAAATTATATATACAGTGTAATAATGGGATTTAAATATTATTGGTTACTGCTATCAATCTTTGTTATCCTTCAGAAGTTGATGTTCAAACCTTGTTGTCAAAGACACCACATAATTAGGTCAGGACATGGAGAAATCAATCTGGCACAGACCTGGGGGCGTCATCCCTACTGGCTAGCTTTCATAGTTCTGTAAGGATCTATACATGCAACTTGGGGGCGAAGTCATGAACAGTCTTACCTGCTATGAGCCTCATGAACTACAACAGGGACTGGCCTGGCAAGGTATGCCTACTGGTGCAAGATGGCACTGATGTTATGGTAGTAACCAACCACCCTCTGAGTTAAAGCCCTTCCCACACAATGGACCTCATGTCTAGTACTGTTAACTGAGCCCCACATCCATGTCTGGCTAGGTCATAAGCCCTAGGGGAGAACCCAGTACTATTAGTCTACTAAATGGACATAGTTTTACTCTACCCCCTAAATCAGTGGTTCCCAGCCTTCCTAACAATGTGACCCTTTAATACAGTTGCTCATATTGTGATGAACCACAACCATAAAATGATTTTTGTTACTTCATAACTGTAATTTTGCTACTGTTATGAATCATAATGTGAATATCTGATATGCAGGATATCTCATACATGACCCACAGGATGAGAACCACTGCCCTAAGTTCTTTTCTTTATATCCATAGATTAGTGCACCTCTTAGCCCTGATCAGAGAAGCCTCTTTTTGCAGTAGATGATAGCTAATAGACTCACAACTGGTTACTATGCAAGAGAATAAGAAATTTGAGAATGCTCATGTATAAATGGGGAATCTACATGAAACCCCTTTCTCTCATGGTTCAGGGACCATCATGGAAAAGGACATGACAAGATTGTAAGTCATGGCCTCTGGAGTCCAGAGAATCAGTTTTGTTCAGGGACGAGGTCCCTGAAAGGCTATCAATGCTCCAGTAGATGGCTCTATACCCAAACACATAGAGGTTTTTTGTTTTTGTTTTTGTTTTTTTAATTGTTGTTGTGTTGGGTTTTTGTTTGTTTGTTTTTTTGTTTTTGTTTTTGTTTTGTCAACTTGACACAAGCTAGAGTCATTTGGGAGGGGAAATCTCAATTGAGAAAATACCCCAACCAGATCGGCTTGTGAACAAGTCTGTAGTGCCTTTTCTTGATTAATCATTTATATTGGCAGCCCCAGCCCTGCAGGGTGCCATCCATGGGCAAGTGGTCCTGATGGCTTAAGAAAGCAGGCCAAGCTGGGCATTGGTGACCCACACCTTTAATCCCAGCACTCGGGAGGCAGAGCCAGGTGGATCTCTGTGAGTTCAAGGCCAGCCTGGGCCACAGAGATAGATCCAGGACAGGCACCAAAACTACACAGAGAAACCCTGTCTCAGAAAAGAAAGAAAGAAAGAAAGAAAGGAAGGAAGGAAGGAAGGAAGGAAGGAAGGAAGGAAGGAAGGAAGGAAAGAAAGAAAGAAAGAAAGAAAGAAAGAAAGAAAGAAAGAAAGAAAGAAAGAAAGAAAGAAGGCAGGCTGAATGAGCCAGTAAGCAGCATTCCTTCATTGCTTCTGCTTCAGTTCCTGCCCTGACTTTCTTTGATGATGTGTTGTGCAAGTATGAGATGAAATAAACCCTTTCCTCCCCAAGTTGCTTTGGGTCATAATGTTATTTATTTATTCATTCATTTGTTTATTTTTAGTTTTTTTGTTTTTTTGTTTGTTTGGTTTTCCGAGACAGGGTTTCTCTGTGTAGCTTTGCACCTTTCCTGGAACTCGCTCTGTAGACCAGGCTGGTCTCGAACTCACAGAGATCCACCTGGCTCTGCCTCCTGAGTGCTGGGATTAAAGGTGTGAGCCTCTACTGCCCGGTGTTTGTTTTTGAGAATAGGTTTCTCTATGTAGTCCTAGCTGTTCTGGAACTCACTCTGTAGACAAGGCTGGCCTTGAACTTACAGAGATCTGCCTGCCTCTGCCTCTTGGTCATGATGTTTTATCATAGAAATAGAAACCCTCCTAAATGGACATAGTATTACTCTGCCCTCTAAGTTCTTATCTTTATACCCATAGATTAGAGCACCTCTCAACCCCCATCAGAGACCTATGTTTTTGGGTACAAGGAACTTGAACTTCTAAATTTTAAGCTCAGTTTCAGGATATTCATGAAGTTTACTATTCCAAGGTAGAGTTTGGGTGCAAAAAGTGGTTATACATGTGTGTGTGTGTGTGTGTGTGTGTGTGTGTGTGTGTGTGTGTATGTGTGTGTGTGTGTGTGTATGCATGCATACAGGTACATGTATGCACACGTATGTATGTATATAGAAGACAGAGGTTGACATTTGCTGTTCATATTATTTTTTGAGGCAAGATTTTTCACTGACTCTGGAGTTCACCGATTTGGCTAGAACAGCTGACAAGCAGGCCACAGGTACCATCTTGTCTCTACCTCCCTAGTGCTGGGATAACAGGCGTGCAGCACTGTGACTGTCTGGGGCTTCAGTTCAGCCCTCGTGTTTGTACATCAAGTCCTTGACCAACTGAACCACCACTCCAGCTCCTACAGAGATTGTTTTAAAGATGTTAACATTAGTTTTTCATTTATTAAGAGTATGGCTACAAAGCTGGGCTTTTCCTTAATCTTCTAAGTTCATTGTAAATCTAGTCATAAAATTAGTGAAGTGCAAATAAAAATGGCAATTTTTCCTCTGATTCAAGTTACATTAATATAAGATGAACTGAAATATCCTTCTGAACAGTCAGTTCCACTTACAGCTCAATTAATTAAATTCTTCCAATCATTAAAATGGTTTTTAATGATCTTAATACAGTTGATTTTCTTTTCAGGACTTCAGGTGACTCTAACAGACACAGCCTTCTAAATGCTTGAAAAGTTTCTGATAAATACAGCAAACCTTAGGTGAAATTTCAGTGTCATTGAAAAATTCAGATAGTCTCTAATATCTGTCAGCTTACATCTAACAAGTCACGTATTTAATTGCATATTGTGATGTGGGATCACAGCAGTAATCTTTCACATTTTCTTATATTTTCCAAACTTAAAAAGCCTATAATCATTTAAATACCAAATGCACAGATTGTTCCAACAATTTAAAACATTATTCCTGAATGAAATGCTGAAGTATTAATAGACTGGCTTATTTCCTCATATCTCCATGCAGACACAGGTTCTGAACATGTGCCCTGACTCTAGGAAAGACCACCCGGAGATGTAACCAGCATTCACAATGTGATACATGCATTCAGAGACAAGACCAACATCTGCTACTGAACACACAAAAGACCACCCAGGGGTACGACTTGCATCTTGGGAGCCTGTGAACAGAACATCCAGAAACGGTCCTGGAACCAGTACCCGGGCAAGGGGCTGTATCCAGACTGCATCGCCACGCACTTCCTCTTTCTTTACGGTATTCCTCCCTAGTTTGATGTCTAGCATCATTTGAGTGGACCAGCTCTGTTCGCTCTGACCTCATTCTCCCCTTTCCTTCCTGCCTTTTGGATAGGCTTTCCCAAAGAACGCAGGCTGGCCTGGAGTTGGGGGTGTCTGGGCCTCACCCTCCTGAGAGCTGGGACTGTGTGAGGCTGTCTGGTTGTGTTTCTTTACTCTCTCTCTTTTCACTCCGACTTCAGAGTCGTGTCATCTCCTTCCCATGCCTCTGTTGTTCCTCCCGGCGTTTTTCCTCCTCTGTTTCTTTCTCTGTTATTCTAATAATTATTGCTAGACTTACTTTGCATATCTCCTTATTATTTATATCCTCAGTAACTACTATCTTAGAGCACACAGTACTATTTGGGTTCTTTTACTTGCTAAAACTACTTAAGCTGAAGGGCTGACTGTGTTTTAAGTGACTGGCACTGTGTTTTCATAGTCGGCCTGTCCCTTTGTTGTAACCAGTCCTGAAGATTGAACTTGTTGCTCTGAGCATGTGGCTTGAAAGTCTAACTACTGAACTACCCCTGATCTATCAGAGATACAACATCTTAAGCCTATTATGACTTAGTCTTATTTGAACATTGCAAACACTTCCACTAAATAAATGTGGGTGATTAAGAAAGGAAATCCAAACAACAAGCTAATCTGGGTTGTGCAAGTCCCAGAGCAAAAATCAAGAAACATAAAAGACCAAGGCAATGTGACTTCTCCAAAAATTACTAATCCCACAGTAATGGCCTCCAATAAGAATGAACTGTACGAAACCCCAAACAAGAATTCAAAAGATTACTTGTAAGTATATTCAAAGAAATAAAGAACACAAATAAATTCCTGAATAAATTAAAAGAGAGCATAAACAGCTGAATGAAAAAGAAGTCAAAACAGATATGAATATAGAATTCAATAAGTAGAATTACTGAAAAATCAAACTTAAACACTGGGAATGAGATATTGAGTAAGTCAAACTTAAAAAAAATCAGTGAAGTTCATCAGTAGTGGTGCATGCCTTTTATCCTAGCACTCAGGAGGCAGAGGCAGGTGGATCTCTGTGAGTCTGAGGCCTGCCTGGTCTACAGAGAGAGCTGCAGGACAACCAGGACTACACGGAGAAACCCTGTCTTGAAAAACAAACAATCAGTGAAAATTATCACTGATAGACTAAAGTAAAGGACAGAGTTTCAGGGCTTGAAGATAAAGTGGACGAGTAGAACTTTCAGATAATACAAAGATAAACCAATAAGAAAGTATGACTAAAACATCTGAGCTCTCTGGGATCCTATGAAAAGACTAACTATAAATCATGGGCATAGAAAAGGGAGAAGTCTGTACTAAAAGCAGAGAGAAAACATTCAATAAAATCACAGCAGATGCTGGGTGGTTGGTGATGCATGCCTTTAATCCTAGTACTTGGGAGGAAGAGGCAGGCAGATCTCTGTGAGTTCAAGGAGGCCAGCCTAGGTCTATAGAGGCTTCCAAAGAAAGAAATCCTGTCTTGAAAAACAAAAAAAAAAAAAAAAAAAAAAAAAAAGAATCATAGAAGAGAATTTCTCAAATCTAACTAAAGAAATAGCTTTCTAGGCAAAGGAGTCATTTAAAACACAAAACACACAAGACCAGAAAAGAGCCATCCTGTGTCACATCATAACTAAAGCACCAACTCTATGGAGAAAAAAGAAATATGTTGAAAGCTGAGAGACAGAGGCGCCAAATCAAATGGGTCTGAATAATTATTTCTCAACAGAAACTCTTAAAAAGCTGGGAAGGCATGGAGTGATACATTTCAAGCACCGTGTTGGGTCTCTCAATAACAGATAAGATGTAAAGTAGAACACTAGAAACTAGAGCTAGTACAAAAGTAAGAGTGACCGAAGACCAGAAACTGAAAAGAAACTCAAAGCAACCGGCAGGCTGCTCACCCCACGCGTCTGCTGCTGGTGGGTCCAGAGCTCCGTCCATCAAAGATGACAGACACTGGGAAGTCAGCTTCCCGGTTCGTTTTATAAAGCTTGCATAACTCTCAAATGGAAGCGGAAGGTAAGTACAAAACACAGAAAAAGGGAAACTAAAAATTAATACCACTTGTTATTTTAATCTATAATTCTGGCTAAAATAATAGCCATAGAATCCAGCAGTATATTAAAAGAATAATATTCCATGACCAAATAAGGCTTGTTCCAGGAATGAAGCAGAGTTCAGCTTTCTTAGATCAATACATGTTAACACAGAAATAAGCCAAAACATATGAGTATCTTGAGGGAAACTAGATGGATTTTAAAAAATTTAATAGTCATTTCTTACTTGTTTAAAATTGGAAATAAAAACATACTCTCTAACCAAATCAGGAATATTTATTGTGGATCCAATTTGAATATTTATTTTGGATCAAATTCCAAATTGACAATAAGACTTTAGATGAGCCTCTCTCTCTCTCTCTCTCTCTCTCTCTCTCTCTCTCTCTCTCTCTCTCTCTCTCTCTTCCTCTCTCCTTCTTTCTTCATCTCCCTGTCTTTCTCTGTCTCTCTCCATCTGTTTGTCTGTCTCTCTCTCTTTTTGGTTTTTCAAGACAGGGTCTCTCTCCTTCTTCGACCCCTATTATTCTTAGGTTTGGTCTTTTCATGGTGTCCCAAATTTCTTGGACATTTTGGTTCATGACTTTGTTGGCTTTAGTATTTTCTTTGACTGATGAATGTATTTCTTCTACTGTATCTTCAACGCTAGAGATCCTCTCTTCCATCTCTTGCATTCTGTTGATTATACTTGCATCTGAAGTTCCCAATCGTTTTCTCAGATTTTCTATTTCCAGCATTCCCTCTGTTTGTGTCTTCTTCATTTTTTCTATTTCCCTTTTCAGGTCTTGGACTGTTTCCTTCATTTGTTTAATTGATTTTTCTTGATTTTCTCTCAGTATTTTATTGTTTTCTTCCAGGACTTTATTGATTTCTTCTAATTTGTTTGCCCTTTCCTCTAGTTGTTTACAGCGTTCTTCACATTTTTTTGTCTTTTCCTCTACACAAGCCTCTAGCTTCTTCATGATGTCATTCATAAGGCTGTTTTCTTCTGCTTCTTCCAATTTCTGATGTTCAGGTCTAGGTGTTGGAGGAGGGCTAGGGCCTGGTGATGCTGTATTGCTATTCATTTTGTTGTATATGTTTCTGCCTTGACGTCTGCCCATCTCCTTGTGGTTCGTTCTTGGCCTTATCCGCACACTTGGTTCAGACAGACCAGTGTTCCAAAAGGGAAGTCTGGAGCAAGATGGGAGCTGGGGGCCGGCCTCTAAGTCTCAGAAAGAGGCTTGGGGCTCAGGCGGATGGGCGTGGGGGCAGGGCGTGGAGACTGCAGGGTCTGCCAGGGGTCTTGGAGAAGGGGATCCTTCCCTGTGCAGCTAGCAGGGAACCTGCCCGGTGGCCAGAACCTGGGACCAAGTTGGGCAGGTCTTCCCTGGAGTGGCTGGTGCCCAGGGATGGGGTCTGGGGCAAGGAAGGGCACTCACCAGTGTTGCAAAAGGGAAGTCTGGAGCAAGATGGGAGCTGGGGGCCGGCCTCTAAGTCTCAGGAAGAGGCTTGGGGCTCAGGCGGATGAGACAGGGTCTCTCTATGTAACTGCCCTGGCTGTCCTGAGACTCCCTCTGTAGACTAGACTGGCTTCGAAATCACAGAGATCCACCTGCCTCTGCCTTCCTGAGTGCTGGGATTAAAGGAGCTCACCACCGCTGCCCATCTCGATCAGTCTCTTTTAAAGTCAAACCTAAGATACAACTTTTATTAATATTTTGGTCATTCCAAACCACGCAGTAAAGTTAAAAGGAATTATACAAATCATGAAACAGAAATAAAGATACAATAAAATATTTGCAAATATTATTTTTTACTACAGAGGCAGCTTTAAAAATAAACAGCTAATTAGGAAAGAAGGCAGGTAATTACAGATCAGACCCCCAAATCAATATCCTTTAAGCCATGAATACAGGGGTATAAAAGATCTTTCTAGAAAGATGCCGTAGATGCAGCAAAGTAGTAAGGTAACTATGGTGATATTTTATTTGTATTAAAATATTATTTGTATGTTAATAAATAAAGTTGCCCGGGGGTCAGAGCTATTAGCAAGCCATAGGAAAGCAGGGCAGTGGTAGCGTACGCTTGTAATTCCAGCACTTGGTAGGCAGAGCTGGGTAAGTCTCTGTGTGTTCAGGGATACAGCCATTATTGGATACACATGCCTTTAATCTTAATACCAATCATGGAAAACCTGGAGGCCTATACAGACAGGCTGTGAGGAGGCGGTCATGTGGTTGGGTTTACAACCAATGAGAAGGCAGGACAAGAACTCTATATAAAGACTTTAACACAGGGGTAGCTCTGGTTCGGAGAGGTAGGACCACCGCAGGAGGAAGGGTAAGGTTTTAGCTCTTAGCTCTGACCTCTTGGCTTTCTTCTTTGCATTGGTTCTGTGTTTATTATTTAATAAGAAGGTTGGATACATCTACAGGTAACCTTTGAGATTCCTTTTATCTCCTACTCCTTGACTTTGTGCTCACATTCACTTGAGAGTACTAAGAGTTTTAGGAAATCGTTTTCTGAACATTGCATAATCTCGCAAGTGTATTCTGTCCTTGGGTCTCTGAATCACCTCCTTCCCTCTGCTTTTGCTCAGTCTCCTCTCAGGTTCATTATTGGCTTTGGCATCTGTAAGGAGGAATTGTGTTGACCCCGAGCTTTGCAGGAAGTTCTGTGGACCACTCCCCCTCTCCATGATCTCTTTACTGGTCTATTGCTGATGGCTCAGTGAGGCGTTCTCTCCTTAGCAACTCTGTCCACAAGCTTCTTGTAGGAATTTCCCAGCATGCTTCTGAGAACTGACTCTTCTTTCTGCTTCTGTAGAGCATGGTTCATGCCATGGGACCTCACTTCCAGGGCACTTTAGACTACTCACCTTCTCATGGGAATTCTCTAACTAGAAAGATAAGCATCTGGCGTCTATTCCTTTGAAGAGAGTTTGTTTTGTTTTGTTTTAAAGAGAATGCTATTCCTAGGTGTTTAGAGTATTTTAAAATCTGTATTTAATAGTTTAAAAATGCTAAGATATGCTTTACCTAGGGCCTTTGCTTTGAATGTGATCTATTTCCTTCTGGTTAGGTCAAGCCATAAGATGAAATTGAGAACCTGCTGGTGGCCAGATTTCCTATGTATATACTAGGGAAGAGGAAGAAGCTGAAACAGAGGGAAAACCAAGATGAACAAAGCAGATGAACAGGATGAGGGTGAGGAGAAACTTGTAAGTGGGAGAGGAGAAAGGTGAACACTCTGGGGATTGGGTTGGAGTTGGAAGTATGTCTGTTAGGGATTCTTGGGGGTGAGGAACTTCTATGTATGTAAATGCTGATGTGTACAGATGGACGTGTGTCTGAGTTTCTTTTTCAGTTTCTGTGATGAAATATCTTGACCCTCCCACCCAACCCCCCCAAAAGGGGGATAAAATGCTTATTTTGGCTACAGTTTAAGGTATAGTCATCATGGCAGGTTATCCACAACAATAGGAGCTCTCTCTCTCTCTCTCTCTCTCTCTCTCTCTCTCTCTCTCTCTCTCTCTCTCTCTCTCTCTCTCCCCTCTCTGCCTAGGAAATAGTACTACACACAGTGGACAGGGCTTCCCATCTCAATTAAGTCAATCAAGCTAATTTCTCTGAGTCATGCTCAGAGGCTGTCTCACAGGTGATTCTAGATTTTTACCAGGATGACAGTTAATGTGAATCATCAAAACATATATGCCATTCTTGGGGGAAATAACCAAATCCAGACAGGATGAGCCTAGAACATGTCATGGTAGAGAGTAACATAATGCTCAAAGAACTAGGGGGACAGGTCAAAAGGACACAGGGGCAACTTGAAGGGGCTCCTACTGGCCAAACTGAGAACGGCATGAACATTAAAAATGAAGAATGAAGCCGGGCGGTGGTGGCGCACGCCTTTAATCCCAGCACTCGGGAGGCAGAGCCAGGCGGATCTCTGTGAGTTCGAGGCCAGCCTGGGCTACCAAGTGAGTTCCAGGAGAGGCGCAAAGCTACACAGAGAAACCCTGTCTCGAAAAACCAAATTAAAAAAAAAATGAAGAATGAGTATTGGGAAGAAACTACTAAATAGAATAAAAATCTCAATCAGTCATGGTAAACAGCTAAGCACAACCCCATATTTGATAGAGGAGAAAGTGAGGTTGACCAGAAGATTGTTGGCAACAGTAACATCATGAAACAGTGCTCTTCATTTGATTTTGGGGTGTTATGGATCAAATTCAGGGTTTTTCTTATGCTAGGTAAGCATTCTACCATAAGCCATACCTCTAGTCTATGTGTAGTTGGTAAAGCAACTGGGCTCATTAACTTTAACTGTTGATTGACACAACCTAGAATCACCTGGGAAGGGATTATCTAGACTAGGTTGATTTGCATGCATGTCTTTGGAGAACTGTCTTGCTTTTTAATTGATGTAGGAATACCTAGCTCATCGTGGGCAGTATTATTCTAAAGGTTACAGAGGCCTTATGAGTCAGTTTATGTTTGAACAACATGGCACTGATACAGATATCCATCATGGGCCAAAGTGATAACCCTGGACAACACCAAATGGTGAATGTCTGGAGAAACCCTAAGTAGAGTGATGTAATCTGTTTATAGGTTTCTTGCAGGAAACCACTTTTGTGTGGGTTTTGTATGAGCATGGCTTTGAAACATGAATGTATAAGTATCTCTTTGGGGTGCTGATTTAGATTCCTTCCAGGGGTAGACTAGCCTGGTGGTATGGTGATTCTAGCTTTAGTGTTTTGAGAAATCTCTGTGCCGATTTCCATAGTGGCTACTCAAGTGCCCCCTCCCACCAGCAGTGTAAAAAGTTTCTTTTCCTTCACATTCTCACCAATACCTGTTGTCATTTGTTTTCTTGAGGACAGTCATTCTGAAGTGGATGAGATGGAATCTCAGTATAGTTGGAGTATGCATTTCTTTGGAGGCTAAGGTGGAACATTTTTTTCAAATATTATTTCTTGGCTACTTCCATTTCTCTTTTTGAGTACTGTTGATTATTTGATTAGTTATTCATAGGTTTATTTGCTTGTGTGCATGTGTCTGTGTGCTGTATCTCTGTGTGTGATTGTACATGTCTATGTATGGATGTGTGGAAACCACACTAAACATGTATCAGCCAGTGTCTCTCACTGATCAGTTGGCTAAACTGGCTGTCCGTTGTGCCCACAGTACCCTTCTGTCTCCACCAGTCAGAGCTGAGGTCAAGGAATGCACCCTCACACCCATCTTTTCCTTTCCTTTCTTTCCTTTCCTTTTCTTTTCTTTTCTTTTTTTTCTTTTCTTTTCTTTTCATAACACAAGGCTGGGGTAGGGATCTGAAGTTAGGGCCTCATGCTTGTACAGCAGACACCTCGCCCACTGAGGCATGTCCCCATCTCCAGCTTTTTGATTTCTAGTCATCTGAGTTCTTTGTAGATTCGATATACTAACCTCTTGTCAGATGTGTGGTTGGGTTCTGCAGCTTGTGTATTCATCGTGCTGTTTGTTTCATTTACTATGTAGAAAAGTTCTTTTTTTTTTTTTAATTTTCTACAATCCTATTTGTCAGTTCTTGCAATTATTTCCTAAGCATTTGGAGTCCTTTTCAGGAAGTCATCGCCTACACCTGTTTCTTGAGGTGCTTTCCCTGTCTTTCTCCACCACATCAGAGTCTCAGATGACATGACTATATTTGATCCATTTGAATTGATTGTTATGCATGGTAGGAGGTAGGGGTCTAACATTACTCTTCTAAATGTCTTTTTCTTTCTTGATTGTCATGGCTATGAGGTAGTATATTGAGTAATCATGGACACCATTACCTCATTCCTGATTTTAGAGGTAATAGCTTGAGTTTTTTTTCCCATTTAGTTTAATCTAGACATTGGTTTGTTGTACATAGCCTTTATTTTATTTTATTGGGTTTTTTCTTTTGTACATAGCCTTTATTATGTGCCTTCTATTCCTAATTTCCTCAGAGATTTTATCACAAAGGCCCTTGCACTGACATGATCATGTGATTTCTGTACCCAATTCTCTTAACTTGTTGCATTATACTTATTGATTATATATACTTATATTATACTTACTTATTATACATATGTGGAACTATTACTGGAATGAGATTAGCTTGATCATGATAGATACTCTTTTTAATGTGTTGTTAAATTTGATTTGCAATTATTTTTATTGAGAACTATTGTATTTGTGTTTATTGTTTTTTGTTGTTGTTGTAACCGTATCTGGTTTTGGTGTTGGGGGAACACTGGTATCATGTAATGAATCTTGTACGCTTCCTTCTCTTTATACTTTATGGACTATGTTGAGAGAAGCATTGTTAGCTTTTCTTCAAAGGGCCAGTAGAATCGAACAGTGACTCTGCCCACTTCTGGGCTTTTCCTTGTTGGGAGACTGCTTCAGCCTTGTTGCTCTTTATAAATCTGCTTAAGTTGTTTATGTTCTTGATTTAATTTTGTAGGGTCATATTTGTCTCTGGTTGTTTTCTAGACTTTTCAGCTTTGTAGAATATATGTTTTTAAACTGCTCCTCAGTGACCTTCTGGATGTCACTAGTATATGCTCTCATAGCCGCTTTCATCTCTAATTTTATTTATTTAGATATCTCCCTTTTTGTGGTTAGTTTGGCTACAGTCTTATCAATCTTGTCTTTTCTATGAGCCAACTCTTGGCTTCATTGATTCTTTGTATTGTCCTTAGTCTCCATGTCATTAATTTCTGCTTTGCTCCTTAAGATTTCTTTCCATCTACTGCTGGGGTTGGCTACTTCTTGTTCTTCTAAGACTTGGACTGGATGGTGAAATTATTCCCTTGACTTCTTTGTTGAACGTTATGTGTAATATATCCATGCGTGTGCACACACACGTGAGGGTATATGTGCAGAGACCAGATGTCAACATTGGGGGTCTTTTTCTGTTGCTCTCCATCTTATTTTTCCCGAGATTAGTTCTCTCAGTGATTTCATTGTGTTGGCTAGACTGGATGGCCATCAAACTGAGCAGACTGTGCCTGCCTTCACCTCCTTAGCACAGGGCTTTCTTTACTGGGGAGTGCTTCTGTATCCAGGTTTTATGTGCATGCTGGGGCATCTGAACTTGGGACCTCGTGCTTACAAAGCAAACACTTTATCCACTAAACTCTATTCCCAGTACTCTTTTTCATCTTTTAATATAATCATTCATAGCTGTAAACTTGACTCTCAGAACTGCCTTTGCTGTATCTCAGAGATTCTGATATACTGTGCCTTCATTTCCGTTTTATTGTAGGCACTTTTCTCTCCAGTTTCTTCATGGTCATTCAATAATGTTTTTATCTCAGTATGTTTGTGTAGTTTCTTCCTGTACTGATTATTACTTTTACTCCGCTGCGATCTGATGACATACAAGAGAGTATTTTGATTCTTTTGTATTTGTTAAGACTCGCTTTATGGCCTTAAGTGGATATCTGTTTTAGAGAAAGTTCAATAGGGTGCTGAGAAAAATGTGTATTCCACAGCATTTGAAGGGAATACTCTACAGATACCTGTCAAACTGATTGGATCTGTGCCATTTAATTCTGAAATTTCTTTGTAGAGGTCTGATTTGTATGATCTGCTTATTTATGATATTAGGGTAATGTAGTCTCTATATTATATCAGGACCTGTCTGTCTTGTTATTTCCCCAGCTCCAGAATGTATAAATGAGACAGAAATATTTAGAAGTAGGCAGATTTCCCACATTGGTTGCCTGACCAATGGAGTGAGGACTATTATGGTTGGAAAGGCCAAGTGGAAGCCACTGGAGTTAAAGGATTAGAGATGTTAGTGCCATGGTCAAGGACTTAAAAGATTAGGGGTGGTGGTTCCTACCACATCTCTATTTAACTCCCTATTTAGGCTGTGCAGAAGATGGATAAATGAAGAATGACACCGTTTATTGCAAGCTTAATTAAATAGTGACTTCAGTTGCAGCTGCGATACCAGACATGGTTTCCTAGATAGACTAATGCACCTCCCAGGACCTGGTATATAGCTACTGATTTTGCGAATCCTTTTTCTCCTCCATGTCTGCCAATAAGAACCACCAAAAGCAATTTTCTTTGGGCTTGCAAGGCCAGAAGGACATCTTTACAGTTCTGTCCAAAGGGTATGTAAATTCTCCAGTCCTGTGCTGTAACATAGTTCAGAGAGATCTTGATCACCTTTCTTTCACAAAGTATCACACTGGTCCATTACATTGATGACATTATGCTCATTTGGCCAAGTGAGCAGGAGGTAGTAAGCACTCTGGACTTGTTGGTAAAACATATATGCATTACAGGATGGGAATGTCTTATTAAATAAAAACCCAGAGTCAGAGATTAGGGTGAAAGCTGAAAGATCAGAGAAGCAGAGCAGCCAGCCACTGGAAACTTCTTACCTCTACAAAATCTCAGACAAATGAATGAGATACTGTCTCTACAAATCCTCAGACTGAATGGGCTGAGATCCTGTCTCTACCTGCCTTATATTCCTGTCTCCACCTCCCTAGTGCTGGTATTAAAGGCATGAGTCTCCTGGGTGCTGGGATTAAAGGTGTGTGCCACCACTGCTTGGCATTGTTTCTCTTTTAGACTGGTTCAATCTTGTGTAGCCCAGGGTGGCCTTGAACTCCTGATCTTCCTGCTTCCTCCTCCCCCCAAGTGGTGAAATTAAAGGTGTGTGCCACTACTTCCTTGTCTCTATGGTTAACTAGTGGCTAGTTCCACCCTCTGATCTCTAGGCAAGCTTTATTTGTCAAAACACAAACAAAATATCATACCACACTCCATGACTAGGGCAACAACAGGATAACCAAGAGAAGTTTCAATGAGGGTCCAGTATTGATGGTGTCCCAGAAGCCAGAGGCCTTGACCTGGCCAACAACTCATTGCAATGAACATTTGCAAGTAAAGCTATGTGGACAAAAGGGTCTACTGTGTGCCACATGAGACTCCCAAGCCACTCTGACGAGTATGTGACGGGAAGGTGGGAAAGTTGAAGGAGTGAGATTTTTTTGTTTTTTGTTTGTTTGTTTGTTTTTCTTTTTTATTATTTCTCTTTTTTTAAAAAAAAGTTCTTCTAGGAGAGGGGTATCTTAGGGTTTCTATTGTTGTGAAGGGACACCATGACCATGGCTACTCTTTTAAAGAGAACATTTAATTGGGGTGGCTCGCTTACAGTTTCAGAGGTTCAATCCATTATCATCATGGTGGGGAGCATGGCAGCATGCAGGCAGATGTGGTGCTGGAGGAATAGCCGAGAGTCCTACATCTTTTAGGCAGCAAGAAGTTGACTGTGACATTGAGCAGTATCCTGAGCATACACGAGACTTCAAAGCCACAGTGACACACTTCGTCCAACAAGGCCATATCCACTCCAACAAAGCCACACCTCCTAATAGTGCCACTCTCTATGAGATTATGGGGTCCAATTACATTCACACTATCACAGTGAGGGAGGCTACAAGGGTAGAGGGTGGTCATGGAAAGACTGGGAAATGAGTGGGGTTGGGGTACATGATGTGAAATTCCTAAAGAATCAATAAATATGTTAATATAAAAAGAAATGAAGAATGTGAATAATATTTGTGTATAATGACAGCATTCAAGATTTCAAGTAAAGGTATTAGAAAATCCACAGTTATGCCACCATTAGTGTGGCAGCTTTCCTGATGAAGTAATTGGTGATGTTAATGAATATTAATTTGGGGTAAGGAAATGTGTCAACATTTAGAAAATCTTCAGAAATCCCTCCAGTACTTTGTAAGAGTCCAGTGTATTACTTTAGAATTTATGCTTGCTAAAAAATCCATTCATTCAAAGTGAAAAATAGGTCAATATATTTTAATGGGCTGGAATTGATTGATATGGTTTCAGATTCTACATTACAACTTCCCCTTAAGACACTATGGCTTGTCAAGTTTGGGTATACTATAAAGAATAATGCTCAAACATCACATGAAAGGTATTAAATTATTCTTTTCTTTCTTACCTACAGATCTACATGAGGGCTTTTTTAAAATTTCTCTACCAACTCAAACCACATATCAGAACAGACTATTGAAGCATTTATGACAGTCCACAAAGAGCCTGTATTAAGCCATAAGTTAAGTAGATTTGTAAATGTATAAAACAGAGGATGCTTTCCTAACTTCCTAAACTTTTTGTATTTAAACGTATAATTATCTTTTATAACATTATTATTGATGTTAATATATAATAAAAAGATTCATTATTATTATTTAAAAAATGAAAACACTAAATTCCCAGGTAAAATGAAGGAACTAGAATATATCATCATGAGTGAAGTAACTCAGATCCAGAAAGACAAATATGGTATATATTCACTGATAATGTGGATATTAGCTGTTAAGTCATTGATATGCAAGTTTCAAACCATATACCACAGAGGCTAGGTAGAGAGTGAGGGACCAGGGCAGGGGGCAGAGATGGCTCTTCCTGGGAAGGGGAAACAAGATAGTTATGGATGGATGAGGGGGCTGACTAGACCAGGAGGTTCAAACAAGGATCGGGAGGGATGTGGGAGGTAAGGGAAGGCATACAAGGAGGGACAGATAAAACTAAGAGTCAGGGCTGGAGAGATGGCTCAGAGGTTAAGAGCACTGACTGCTCTTCCAGAGGTCCTGAGTTCAATTCCCAGCAACCACATGGTGGCTCACAACCATCTGTAATGAGATCTGGTGCCCTCTTCTGGCCTGCAGTCATACATGCAGGCAGAACACTGTATACATAATAAATAAATAAATCCTTAAAAAAACCCAAAAAACAAAAACAAAACTAAGAGTCATTTGAGGGTCGTATGGAAACCTAATACACTAGAAACTTCCTAAAATACATACATGTATGAAAGCAATCTGAATGAAATTGCCACATCGGGGGGGGGGGGGGGGGCGAGACAGAAGCCCAGTTGGACAAGTCTTGTCACCAAATGAAACTCCCAGTGCTGGGAAGGGGTTACATCTAATCAAATTCTTGGCTAAAGGGGTCCCAGAGGAATCCCCAAACAACCCAGGCTGTTGCCAAGGCTGGTGGTTATCCACAAACTGATGGTAAGGTCCTGCTGCTGCAGACAACACTTACACAATTCATGGAACACAAAGAAGTTAAGCTGGTGCTTACCTAAAGCCTTCACTCCTACAGCCTTGTGTTCATGGTACTTGAAGGCACTGTGTGTGGTATCCAAGAAGAAAGGTAAACACAACCCAGGTACAAAGCCTTCCATCTACAATGGTGTCCTGCTTGCAAGACACACTGGTGCAGTAGCGGCACAAGACTTGTGGGGTAACCACCCACTCTCTGATTGGACCTAAGACCCACTCTAAGAGATGGAATCCATCCTGACACTGCTTGGGTGGCCAAGAACCTGAGACCAAATAGGCCAGGGACCTACTAAAAATCAAATACTACTGTTCTGCTGCAGGAATGGAGCAATAAAACAACTTCTAATGACATCCTGCTACACTCATAGATTTATGCCTTGGTCAGCAATCATCAGAGAAGCTTCCTCCTGCAGCAGATGGGGAAAAAAATACAGACTCATGGCCAGACAGTATACAGAGAGTAAGAGACCTTGGGACATTCAGTCCCAAAAGAAATGGCTCCACTGAATTCCTCTCCTTAGGGATCAGGGAACACTTCAGAAGAGGAGGCAAAAGGCGTGTAAGAACTGGAGGGGATGGAGGACACCAAGGATTCAAGACCTTCTAGACACAACAGGAACAAAGCACATATGACCCCGCAGAGACTGTGACAGCATGCACAGGGTCTGCACGGGTCTGCATCAGTTGGGGTCCTAGGGCTGAGAGAGAAAAGGATGCCATCATCCCTAACCCAGAAGCTCTCTCCAACTGATAACCACTTGCAAATGAAAATTTAGTTTTCCCCAAGGGCATCTCACTGGGGAAATAAACTATCCTTAAGGGTAGACTCCATGCCCAGCAGTAGATGACCAACAGAAAATGAACTCAACGGCATTTTGGAGGTTCTTTGTCTCATAATGTTAAGTCAGGCATTTTTTTATTCTTGCACTATTTTATTCCCCAAGGTCATTTGCATATATATCATGGCTTCCTGTTTTGTGTTTTTATGGGATTCTTATGTGTGTGAATGTGTGTGTTTCTGTGTCTATATGAGTTTCTCATGCTTTTTCCTTGGTTCTTTTGTCTTGTTTGGCAATTTTGTCCTATTCTGACTTGTTTATTTTTATTTCATCTTATTGTATTATATTTTAATCTAATATTATTTAGATTATCTTTGTTTTTCTAAGGAGACCATGATGAAAAGATGTGGATCAGGATAGGTGGGAGGTAAGAAGAAAGTGGGAGGCATAGGGGAGTGAAAACTGTAATCAGACAATATTGTGTAAAGCAAAGTTATTTTCAGTTAAAAAATAAGAAAAAAATTAAAAATATAGCAGATTTTGGAGGAACTCATTCTAAGGAGATATTTTGAAGGGGGAACTCTGGGAACTCTGCAAACATATTCTGCCATGGTGATGCCTTTTGAGGAAATCAGGTTAGTAGTTCTCCATTTGCTTCATTGGAGGTCATCATTGGAAACTCCCTTTCTGTTCTATTGGACTCCCCTTGGGTGTATCCTTAGCTATTGATAGAAGTTTGTCTTGTACAACCTTGGCATATCATATTTTACTGTAACACTACCTGGCTCCAATACAAACTGGGAGACTGAGAGAGATGACCCCTAGATGGCATCTCAACTATAACACCATTCTCCAGTTAAACTTTTTCTGCAAACGACAAATAAAACGAACTGAAATCCCTTGTGTATGGGCATTCATGGTCTGTACCAGGACCCTCTGAAGCTCAAAAAGAAAGGACACTCCAACGCTGATCATTGTGGATGTTTTTGACTTCCAAATATGGGACCTCAGGACAGTCTAATTTCACTGGGGGAATCACTAATATTGGTGCCAGGTACCATTATGGACCACTTTAGACCAATGAAGCTAGCATTGCATCCTTGGGCGGATGTCTATGAGTACTTTCTGAGGGTCAGACCCTCTCTTAGTTTGGTCCCTGATCCATGGGTTTAATTTGAACTGGTCATTAAAATTCTATTTGTTTGGATATCCCTTTTGGTTCTAGGACATTCTGTTTATTTTTCTTTCTTTTTAGAATGTTTGGGCTGTTAATTTGTTAGCATTTGGCTGTTTCTCTTCTACTCCTCCAATGGCTAACTCGAGGAAGGAGACAGTGTTTTAAAAAAAAATATCCATTTCATTGTCCAGCTGGCTTTCTGGTTAATAATAATTATGTTAACCCAACTTTCAAATATTGGAAATACTGAAAAGAAAAATCTAACTGAAGATAACGAGGTTTTATGCTTTCTTAAATGATGAACATCCATAAATGTGTTTCTGCATACTAAACAGAATGCAAGGCAATAAAATAAAAGATCATGTAATTGTTTTTATGTGGGACAAAACTCATCCCATCCCAGAAATTCCTAAAACATGACTAACAAAATATGTGGCCACTTTATAAAATTACTGGAGTTTTTTTTGCATGCATATTTAAAATGTGAGTGTATGTGTATGTATAAATGTATACATTTTGGGGATGCTCTGTGGATTGCTAATAACTCCTCTGAAAAAAACAGGTTTTTGAAGATCCTCATCTTCATCAAGTCTTGATAAAATACAACTGTAAGAATCTGAAACAAAGGGAAAACTTATTAAACCTACTTAAATGCATGTAAAGACATTTTAAAATTTAGAGATGATTCTAATGTGTTTTATTACATCATAATTATAATTTCTCTTTTACAATATATTTTGGGCAATTTTTCCTCTCTGTGCTTTTAGTGCTAAAGAAAAAGAAAATGCTTTCAGATGAGTGTTATAGGATGATATCTTCCAAGCATAATATTTGTCATCTTCATCAGAACAGCTGTGACTGTTTGCAAGAGACCCATGAGATCAGGCCTGTTGACAGCTAATGTTCCCTCACAGAAGGAGATGGTTACAAAGGGTCACTGGGTCCTCACCTGAGGATCCTGCACCTCCCCATCATTTAGATGTGATTCTTCTCTAATTTCTCACTGGGAGATGCCAGAGTACATAGAAGATAGATAGTTAATGGATGTAGAAACTCCATCTATGAAGCTATGGAGAAGTCATCATCTACAGTGAGGTGAGATTTTTCTGGTGGTACAGCTGCTTTGGTATAATCCATGCTCCTAAAGCAAAATAAACTCGTAGGTTTCCCCAAGTTTAACTTTATCTATCCACTATCCTTGCTCCTCTCAATACAGCTTTTAAAGCACTAGCAATAAGACAAGAGACAGAAATTATAGGGATACAAATAAGAAAAAAAGTCAAACTATCCTTATTTGGCATGATATTATACATAAGAGATCCCAAAAATGTATCCAGAAAACTTCTAGATACTATCAACAATTTTATTAAAGTGCCAGGACATAGAATCAACTTAGAAAAAGCCATAGCTTTTCTATACACCAACAACAAGCATAATGGGAAAGATAAGAGACATACTCCCATTCACAAATAATATCAAAACAAGTAAAATATCTAGGAATAAACCTAACCAAGGATGTGAAAGACCTCTACAGTGAAAACTTGAAATCTCTGAAATAGATTCAGGAAGTATGGAAAAATATACAATGTGCATGGATTAACAGAATTGACATTATGAAAATGACCATTCTACCAGATGCTATTTACAGATTCAATGCAACCCTAATCAAAACTCTCATCTCATTCTTCACAGAAATAGGGGGGAAAATTCATTTGGAACCACAAAAGACCCTGGATAGCCAAAGCAATTCTGAACAAAAATAACAATGCAAGAGGGATTATCATTCCACATTTCAAGATATATTATTATATAGAAAAGTATAGTTAAAAAAAACAGTGATACTGACAAAAACAGACACGTCAACTAATGGAACAAAATAAAAAAACCCAAACATG